CCGCCAAAGATTCCCTTTCCCTTAGCTCCAAAAGTATCTTTAGTGTTTATAGCTGTATAGCAGATCCACCCCAATCACTAGCCAAGACTTAGTGTAGGGTGAATTAGAACTGGCTTATTGTCAAACTTTATACCCTGGGTCTCAATAGGAGGTCGCCGGGGAGAACAAAGGAATTGCCATATCCCCGGCAGCTTGGTGCCTGTACCTTAGCAGGTCATTTAATTTAATTGCCAGGCATCTTGGAACCAGGGTAACAAAACAGGAAGCTTGTTTCAGAGTACTCGGTCCAAAAAGCCCTCAGATTGGATGTTGTAAGTCTGATATAGATGGAAGTCAAAGATTCAGCAGGCCGCAGCTATCCTCCAGTCAGTGGCGTACACACAATCCATAGGGCCCCAGTGCGAAACTGATCCGTGGCCCCCCCCTCCCCTGATCCCACACAAGTGATCTGAAATGCCGGGCGCATTTAAACAAGCCATGAGGACTTGAGGAACAGCACTGGAAGAAGGCTACCAAGCCGAAACGCGTTTGCTGCTATTTACCATTTGATTGTAATTTTTATTCTTCTTATATATCACTCCTTTGGTTATTTCAGCTTGGGTAAGTGGATACCTCTTTTTATATTACTTGCTATTGGGTTCCACTCCCTTATAACCAGGAGTTTGTTAATTATTTTATTCTCAAATAAATATATACATTTTTACCACGGAATTTTTCCATTTATTATTTGGAATTTCGTCAGCCTGAATTGGCACCCTTGAGCCTGCTATACAGAGCCTGGTACGGCTCTGTTAAATGTGAGTCGTTGTCCACCTTTTATTTAATATACATTTGTATTATACAGTATACACTATGCTATGTTATGCATTTATATTTTGTAGATAATATTCTGCCATCCTTCAACGTTCAGGTTGTACTTTATGGTTGTTTTCTACCACTTCACTTGTTTTTGGGACTATCCCTTTTTATGTGGTTTTGATATACATTGTTTTTCTATATTTACTCTTATTTAGTGTCTGGGAAACACTGCTTTATCAACCACTGTATTATATTCATCATACTTCCATTCTGTGAAGCGCCTACTCACTATCCTCTATTTTTGTGTTACACACATAAACATACACACAGACAGACACACACATACATCCCTCGACAGACATACATACAGACACACACACACACATATATACACAGATACATACATACAGAGACACAGGCACACACACACACAGACACACACACAGACACACACACACACACACATACATAGACACAGACATAGACACAGACACATACATATATGGGACCCCATGGATTGTGTGTACGCCACTGCATACAGAGACACACACGTACATACAGAGACACACACACACACACAGAGACACACATATGGACCGATGGAGCCCTCCATATGCAGCCCCGGCGCAAAATATGGCAGCAGGCCTGCTACCCAGTCGCAGGGGTCTGAAGGATGGCCAGGCCCCCTGGAGTGCCGGGCCCGGTCGCAGCTGCGACCCCTGCGACCGCGGTATATACACCACTGCCTCCAGTCCAGTGCTAAAACAGCAGTGCATTCCATGAATACTTGCAGCTCCCCAATTCCAGGATATCATTGCATGCCACACCACGTCCTCTATCTCCCCTTCAAAAAGCACTCTGCTAAGTGGTCTTGGGACTGACAGCACTCTGGACAAGGTTTTAGCAGACCACAACTAAGCCAGAGTTCCAGAGAGTTTGGAGGTTGCTCCCAGTTAGGCACGCCACGCCTCTGGAGCCTCCCTTTGGGTCTTTGGGTCTTTAAAGCAACTAGGTAGAGCAATGGAGTGGGGTCACATCCGGTAGTGAAAAATATGGTGAATACAGCTCCTTTTGGAGGAGGTGAAGGGCTAAGAGCCAAACACAATCCCTGGGTGACCAGGTGGTCTGTCACACTGCTACCCTCGTGTATCCTTATCCAACAGACATGGTTTTACCCTTTGCTGGTTTACTTGGGGATGTCCTGGAAAAATGTCCCAGTTCATGAGCTCGGTCTGCTCGGACAACCCGTCGTTGTTTCCATTTTGCTTACCAGGTCGATAATGGATCGTAAAGTCAGAGGGTTGCATGGCAAGGTTCCACCTCAGCAACCACATGTTGTCCTATGTAACCCAATTTAGCCAGACCCATGGGTTGTGGTCGGTGAGCAATGTGTATGCTCATCCATACAGGTATGGAGGCAGTTTCTACAAGGCCCTCCTAAGCACTCCATTTCCACTGCAGCATAACTCACTTCCTGGGGTAGTAGCTTCCTAGTAAGATGTCAGGATTACAGTATGATCCAGCACGTAGAACTGTGTAACACAGGAGACTAATAGGTAACGTATACCGGGCCTTAGAATGGCCGGACTCACGTACCAAAGAATAGTCAGGAATATCTGAGGTCAGGGGACACAGAAAGCGACACAACAATAAAGGAAAAACAGGGTCAGGGATATCAGAAAACAGGGAAGTGAAAATCAATGCTAAAGTCAAATAACCAGAATAACCAGAAGGAACGCGCTCTCGGACAACCACTAGGGAAACCACGACAGGGCAATGAGGGAAGGTATTTTTAGGTTTAAATATCTGCTTTACTATTCTGATTGGCTCAAATCACTCTTTGACCCCAAAACGTGCACGCCAACGTCATCAATCACGTGAGCAGACGTGGGGTATATTTTGCCGTGGATCCGCAGTGGCCGGCATCCATTAACATGCCGCAAGTGTCAGTCATGCAGACGCACGGCCGCTGGGTGCAGAGACTTCAAGGTGAGGAAGAATATGTTACATAAGATAGGCAACGGGATGTTCTCCACTGTCCTTGACGACCTGGCTATGAATAGCTCCCAGTCCAAACATCAAAGCGTCCTTGTGTACACTAAAATGTTTGTTAGGATCTAGGGCCATCAAGATGAAAGCATTGATCAGTACTTGTTCAAGGGACTGGAAGGCTGTTTCGCATTCGGGAGATCACAGGAACTGCCTAGACAGATTTATCTTAGTCAGGTCCGTCAAGGGTTCAGTGATGGCGCTGTAGTCAGGGACAAAGCGTCGGTAATAGCTAGCTGTCCCCAAGAAAGCCATAACGTGTGTCTTGGTACAGGGTGGAGAGAAGATGGCTCGGGTTTTATCTTGGCTGGTTCAGGCTGTCGCATCGAATATCCTACTTAGTTTCCCAGATACTGTACTTCAGCCATGCCAATGTGACACTTGTCTGGCTTTAAGGTTAAGCTAGCATCCCTAATCCTGTCTAGGACCATCCCTACATGCTCTAAGTGAGCCTCCCAGGTGTCACTGTAGACAGATATGTCATCCAGGTATGCACAGGCACAGACCTGGAGGCCATCGGGGAGCCTGGAGGCCATCGGGGATCTCCCATGTGTTGAAAGGTAGCTGGGGCATTCTTCAACCTAAACGGCATGACCCGAAATTGGTACAAGCTGGATGGGGTGACGAAGGTCGACTTGGGGATAGCATCCTCTGCCAGGGGAATTTGCCAATATCCTTTACACAGGTCAATGGTTGTAATGTAATGTCCCCTAGCTATGCAGTCTAGTAGCTGGTCCCTCTGGGGCATTGGGTAGGTGTTGGTTACTGTCGTATCAGTCACTCGTCTGTAGTCTACACAGAAGTGAGTAGTCCCATCTCGCTTTGGTACTAAGACCACTGGCGAGGTCCAGGGGCTTTCGGAAGCTTTGATGACTCCTAAGCAGAGCATTTAATTTATTTCTTTCCACATCCCTTACCGGACTGCCTTGGGGTTGCGTAACGGCGGTTGCCTTAGTAGTGCTTGCCCAGGGGTCTCTACTTTATGCAGGGCTAATGTAGTGTATCCTGACTCATGGGCTCATGTGGACCTTTGGACTTCAAGGAGCCGATTAGCTTGTTCTATCTCCTGGAACCCCAATCTTTCCTCTACTTTAACTAGTTCTAGGGACCTTGCCTGCTAATCTTCCCCTAGCAGGTTGGACAGGGGCAGGTTATATGAGTCCTCTGAAGTGGGGGTGCATACTGGGGTAACCTCTTCCTATCTTTCCCTATACTCTTTGAGCATATTAATATGAAACGTGTGTCGCATCCTTTCATCGCTACAACTGGCCACCACATATGAGGTATCACAAACCCGTTCGACTCCTTGCCAGGCAGCCTGTAGCTTGTCATGTCAGATTGGTTTTAGAACCAAAACCTTTTGTCTGACCTGGATGCTATGGTGCCTGATCCCCAGTCAAACATACCCGCTGCCACCTCTGGGTCACATGGAGGTTCTCCAGCACCATCCAAGCTAGTTGTTCCAGACTGTCCTTTAGTTCCAGTATGTATGGCACAAGCCATGTGCCTTACATCCCCATCTCCCCCTCCTATTGCTCCTGGATGAGCTCTTGTGGGCCTCTCACCCCCCTTCCATACAGCAGCTTGAATGAAGAGAACCCAGTGGATTCCTGCAGCACCTCTCGGTATGAGAACAGGAGTGATGCCGTGAACATAACATTTTCGGTTCGCGAACGGCGAACACGAACATCCGCAAATGTTCGCGAACGGACGAACCGCCATAGACTTCAATAGGCAGGCGACTTTTAAAACCCACAGGAACTCTTTCTGGCTACAATAGTGATGGAAAAGTTGTCTCAAGGGGACTAACACCTGGACTGTGGCATGCCGGAGGAGGATCCATGGCAAAACTCCCATGGAAAATTACATAGTTGATGCAGAGTCTGGTTTTAATTCATAAAGGGCATAAATCACCTAACATTACTAAATTGTTTGGAATAACATGATTTAAAACATCAGTTATGGGGGGGCAGAGCCTGACAAGGAAGCGAGCAAGACGTGCTCTGCTCGAGCTCCCGCCGATCGGAACACTTACAGCTTAAAATCTGGGGGTGAAACACAGAAGGACCCACACACTGCGGCTATATAGCTTGGGGAACCCAGCACACAACCGCAGACACCCGACTTGCCGCATAGAATGCCTGGGAACCGAGATGGTGGACCAGGGCCCACGGGGATGGACGGACCGGGATGGCGGCCGCTTCCCGGTCACCACTCCAGGCCACAGGCAGGCACCAAGCATTCCCCCCCCCATGGACCGGGGGGGATATCCCGGTCCCCGCCACACGGAGCTAACCCGGCAGTTGGAGCCGACAGCCGAAACCAACAGACCGGAGGTGAGGGCCTCCAAAATGGCGGACACAAGCGACTGCAAAACTCATAGCATGCAGCAGCAGCCAGCAACACTCATTCACATCCCTAAAGCGAGCAAGATGGAGGTGAAGCAAAGCGGGGCAACATACCCACACAGCCTGTCCAAAATGGCAACCCAGCCTATGCCTGAAAAGCGGAGCACCAGCCTCAACACACACAGGTCCCCACTGGAAACGTTTGACTGGCTCTGCGCAGGCCTAAGGGAAGCTCTACTCAGCTGGGGAGTAACTCACCACCAAGCTGACTTAACGTTGGCCTCATGGATACGTCCTGCAGCGAGGCGCAGCTACTATATGCAGATACCCCGAGCCTCCAAGATGACCATCCGGCAGAACAGATACCGCCGGGCCTCGAGGAGGGATGTGGCACCAAACCTCCCGTGCATACAAACCCAACAGCACACCAGAAACACTGTGGCCTACGAACCAAGCGACGCCCACATATACCCAACCTGACCGAAACCCCGGCAATAAGCGCAACACGACACGCACCTCCCTATACAAGGCAACATCGCAAGCGACCACGCAACTGTACCACATGGGGGACACTATCGGAGCAGAACCCCGAGGTGGAGAAACCAGGCCCTGTGGCAGCAAAGACGAGTCCCACAGACACAAAGCACAGGACTTACCATCACTGGGTATAGGCTGAAAAGCCTAAAACGCTACCTCACATGGGGTAATCCTAGCCTGGACTGATCTGAATTCCCAAAACAGCGGAATACCCAGACGAAGAAATATAACACAGGCCACATGTGGACGATACCCCCATAATAACGCAGGACACAATGCACAATGCCATTGAAGGTTGTTTGCCCAGCTAATTAGTGGCAAAGCATCATTTTATGTTTAGTTACTTACGATACAGTCTATACTTACATTTAGCTTGTGTAGCGAAGTAACCTCACACTGTAGGCACAATACTGCACTGTTATTTGCTTCTCACGACACAACAGCCTACACAAGAGCAGCGCAAGCAGTACACATATCAAACACATGCCTGTTACCTTTATAGTATAAATCATAATACCATATTACTATTACGGCAGCATAACTAACATACCTAACCTAGCACGGATAAGCGTTGATTATTTCACCTTGTTCTAACGTCTTCATTGCGCAGCCAATCTTGTTATTGTTATAATCTGTTGTGCCTAGCTCTAGCATGTAGCATTTCACCATGCCTATCACACGACAATCTAGCATAAAACACTAAGATTTTAGCGGGTTAACTCACCCATAGGCAATTAACTACTATCTCAGGATATCAGTGCTTCAAATCATATAAGCTTGTTTAACCCTTAACATGTTTCCTACTTTGACTATAAAAAAAATGTGCGATGTTTTTCAATGCCATACCAACAGGGCCGGCGCTTCCTATAAGGCGAACTAGGCAGCCGCCTAGGGCGCCATATAGGAGGGGGCGCCCTGCGCCCCCATCGCCGGCCCTTTAAATTCTGCAGCCGCCTGAGCGCTCTATGGAGAGCGCTCAGGCGGCTGCCACAGTGCCTCACCTCCCCTGCCCTGCTGTAGCGTGGCCGAGCTCCTTTCCGGTCCGCGACCCGGCCGGACTGACAGGACCGGAAAGGAGCTCGGCCACGCTACAGCAGGGCAGGGGAGGTGAGGAGAAGCTGCTGGGAGGGGGGGGAGATGATGATGAGGGGGGAGATGATTAATGGGAGGGAGTGGGGGAGATGATGATGATGGGGGAGATGGAGGGGGGAGATGATGATGGAGGGAGGGGGGGAGATGATGATGATGGGGAGATGGGAGGGGGGAGATGATGATGATGGGGGGGAGATGGAGGGGGAGATGATGGGGGAGATGGGAGGGGGGGAGATGATTGATTGGAGGGGGAGATGATGATGGAGGGGAGATGATGGGAGATGATTGATGGGATGGGGGGGGGAGATGATGATGATGGGGGGAGATGGGAGGGGAGATGATGGGGAGATGATGATGATGGGGGAGATGATTTGATGGGAGTGGGAGTGGGGGAGATGATGATGATGGGGAGATGGAGGGGAGATGGGAGGGGAGATGATGGGGGATGATTGATTGAGGGAGGGGGGGAGATGATGGGAAAGGGGAGATGATGGGGAGATGATTGATGGAGGGGGGGAGATGATGATGATGTGGGGGGAGATTGAGGAGGGGGAGATGATGGGGGAGATGATTTGATGGGAGATGATTTGATGGGGAGGGAGTGGGGAGATGATTTCATGGGAGGGAGGAAGATGGGAGGGGAGATGATGGGGAGATGACGGATGGGAGGGAGGGGGGAGATGATTGATTGGGGAGATGATTGATGGAGGGGGAGATGATTGATGGGAGGGGGAGAAGAAGAGAAGATTATAGGGGGAGAAGAAGAGAAGATTACGGGGGAGAAGAAGTGATTACAGGGGGGGGAGGGGAGAAGATTATGGGGGGAGGGGAGAAGAAGACAAAATTACAGGGGGGAGAAGAAGCGGAGAACACAGGGAGGGGGGGAATAAGAGGAAAACACGGGGGGAGAAGAAGAGGAGAACACGAGGGGTGGGAGATGAGAAAGTAGGGGAGGGAGAGACCACTAAAGGAGGGAGGGGGCAGTGGAGAGACCGCTAAGGGAGGGGGGTGGAGGATAGACCACTAGGGGAGGGTGGGGGGAGAGGAGAGACCACTAATGGAAAGTCGGGGAGAAAAGGAGACCACTAAGGGAGGTGGGGGGAGAGGAGAGACCACTAAGGGGCAGGGGAGATCTCTAAGGAATGGAAGGGAGAGCTCTATAGGACAGGGGGACAGGGAGCTCTTTCACACCACGCGCACACACACACACACACACACACACACAATGCATCCCTATACACACAGAAACACAACATGCTTCCCTTACACACAGAGAAACACACAATGCAAACCTTACACATAAAGACAATGCATCCTTTGCACATATACACAGAACACACACAATGCATCCCTTACACACACATGCAAACACACACTGTTTTTCTTACACACACACACACAGAAACACAATGCATCTCTTACACACACTCAACACACCCCTTACAGACACACACACTGCATCCCTTACATACACAGAAACACACTTTGCATCCCTTATGCATACAAACACAGATTCACACAATGCATCCCTAACACACAACAAGAAACACACAATACATCCCTTATACACAAACACTCACTGCTTTCTATCCCTTACACAAACAACACTGCATCACCTACACAAACTGGTATCCCTATACACTACATTCCGTAAGCACACACATTAGATCCTCTACAGTAACACATAACACATCCCCTACACACTCTACTCCCTGTGAGTTCATGGGTGGAACATGTAGGTGGCCTTATGGGTGGGCTTTATGGGCATACTCACCGTCAGGCCCTGGGGCCCAGACCTTGAGCTATGTAAGAGGCCCCAAAAATGGAGCTGCTTCCCGTTCTCCCAGAACATTGAATTTTGTGACCACAGTTGCAAACAGCCTCCAGAGATCCTGTTCTACACCAGACCAGTGGAGCCAGACTGCAGCCAGAGCCCATCACCATCCTAATCTGATTGTAAGTAGGCAATCTAGTATATTATTAGTGACACTAATCTCTAATTTACCTCACATTAAATGGACACTATAGTCCCCTAGAACCACTGCAGCTTAATAAAGTTGTTCTGGTGTCTATAGTTTGTCCCCGCAGGCTTTTTAATGTGCAGCACTGGCATTAGTTCATATGGGTGGGGCATTGCGAAGTTCGTGGCAAATCTTTCTTTTGCCTAGGGCGGCAAAAATCCTTGCACCGGCCCTGCATACCAATGTTAACATATGTTTGCATATTTGCTTGCACCAGCTATCGTGGCAGTGCAAACATGTTTGTTCACGCTATGCACAAATAAAATAAAGAATAAAAAAAAAAAAAAAACCCCATCAGGTATGATGTTGTATCGATCAGGTAGTGTAAGGGTTACGCCCGCTTCACAGTGACAGACCAAACTCCCCGTTTAATGCACCGCAAACAGTCCATTTGCACAACCGCAAACTCCCCATTTGCACAAGGTTGGATACCAAGCTAGCCATGTCCTGTTCCTTGTCCTCACTGATGTCATTGAAGGTCTCTTCCTCCACCCAGCCACGTACAACACCAAAGGTCCCCAAAAGGTGACAACAAGCCCCCTGGGACGCCTGCTGTGTTTGGTCTTCCACCTCCTCAAAGCCACCTTCCTCCTCTGACTCCTCTTCTTCAGACTCCTCTCTCTGCGTCGCCTCTGTGAAGAATCCCCCTCCATTCATTCGGTACTTTCCCTCCCTGCTACTTTATCCATGGATTTATTACTGTGACGAAGTGCCCTTCACCACTTGTGCCTGGAGAGGACTGCTTGCCCGCCGCTTGCCCAGTGACTATGGACCCTGGGAGATTTGGCCCGTTCAATTCAGTATGATAGGAGTTATGTATTTTTGTATCCTTTTGTGTTTCACTGGGAACATGTGCTCAATGGAGTCTGCCTCTAACCCTGGATATAATTGGATTATGTTCCCCATTGTCTCCAGGATAGAGGGCTCTGTAAAACCGGTTTGGGCTAGATAACCATGCTGCCAGCCAGGCCCCAAAACATACTTTACTAACTTCTGAACCCCTGGTCTGATTCATGCCATTTTTTGATATGTTGTTTCCCTGAATGGATTGATTGTGAATATATATTTTTATGTGAATGTGATGTATATTTTAGAAGTTATGAATATGCTGTAAAAACTGTATTTTTCCTACCTGTGATAATTGCATCTTCTATTGTATAAGATAATTGAATCACAGGCAGAGGGGAGGATTTTGTGTGGGCTGTAACCTCTGTTTTATTGGCTACTGTAGATAACGTGTGTGTCCCTCCCCTGCATGGGAGCAGGACATAAAATAAACTGTAGCTTGAATACCTGTTGTTGTTACTTCCAGTAAAGTCTTGTTCCAGCATTAAGCCTTGGCTCATGTTTGGGGGATTGGAAAACTACACTCTGGGGATTGCTATATTCACTATACTCCCCAGGGTATATTCACTAAGCTCTGCTAGGAGCTTGTTCCTGCTCTCTGGGGAAAGAGAGGTTAACCCACTGGAAGCTGGATCCTGGCCTTGGGTCCAGGGTGGGTGGAGACAGCGAGACCCCGGCGCAGCTGCATCGCTGGGAGTGGGGTCTGCAGTGCTGATGGTGTCGGTTGGAGTGCTTGGAGTCCTCAGCGAGCACTAGGAGCATCAATTGGCGGAGGTACTCAGTCGGAGTGCCAGCGGTCCGTCACAGCCTCTCTCTGCATTATTATAAGGTGTGTTAAGTAGTACTATTCTTATCAGTTTAATCCCTGTTACGTCCCCTATCAGGGGACGTGTATATGGCATCGATTTTAGGAACCGGGAGATGGAAAAAGATGCTTGGTCGGTCCTCCTTCTTCAAATTTGGGGCACTGCGCATGCAATCTAA